CCAAACGAGTGGGTGTACCTCAACCGCCCGCTCTCCCCCTGCACCGTCCACGCCGCCCAGACGCTGCGCCTCTTCCTCAGGGTGTGGATGTGCGATTGCCTGTGTATGCTTGTGTGTGCTTGTGTATGCTTGTGTATGCTTGTGTGTGTGTGTGTGTCTGTGTGTTGTTTGTTGTGTACGTGTGTGTGTGTTGTTTGTTGTGTACGTGTGTGTGTGTGTTTGTGTGTCTGTCTGTCTGTATGTGTGCGTCCGTGCGTGGATGTTGTCGTCCCTGCGTGCGCGTGTCTGTGTGTATGTGCGCGGTGCCTCTACGTCCACTGATACATCACATCACACCACCCTCTGCGTCGCCACATGCAACAGATGCGGTGCAAACCAGACGACGTGCGGCAGCTGTGCGAGCGCGACCCAACAGCCGCCATCTACTTGCAGGTGTGTGTGTGTGTGTGTGTGTGTGTGTGTGTGTGTGTGTGTGCGTGTGTGTGTGGTGTAAGGTGTCGTTCATCGTGTTATGTATCCACAAACGTTTCCAATCCACATTTACGCTCACATGTACACATTCACACCTGCACACACACACACACACACACACACACACACACACACACACACACACATAAAACGCACACGCTTGCATCTACATGTACACACGCCATGTCCAGAACCAAATTGCACGCCAGATCTCGACGGGCGGTGTCCCCGTCAACGACGTGCAGCTCGGAGCCAACATCTGCGCACTGCAGGTGATGATGGCAACGGCACTGGTGATAGTGATGATGATGATGATGATGATGACGTGATGATGATGATGATGATGATGATGATGATGACGATGATGATGATGATGATGATGATGATGATGTGTTCTTGTGGAACAAGTGTTGACACTGGGTGGTGCTGACAAACGCACGCGCACACGTGTACACGACACACACTCACGTACACGCACACTTTCATATGCAAACACACACTCGCACACATCCACGCGCTCACGGTCACCTTCCAATGCCATGGTGCCGATGTGCAGATTGTGCTGCATCTGATTGAGGACTACCACCGCCGTCACGTGCGCTGCTCATCCGTTCGCGCAGCAGACATGCTCTCATACTTCAAGTGCGATGACATGTTTGTGGTGCTACTGCCGGTGATGGTGGCCGTGATGGTGGTGATGATGATGATGGTGGTTGTGGTGGTGGTGATGGTGATGATAGTGATGATGCTGCTTGGGGGGGGGGGACTTTTGGCTGGAATCACGTCGACCTGCCTATCTCACTGCACATGCACACATGCACACACACACGCACACACACACACACACACACACACACACACACACACACACACACACACACACACACACACAGCGCATCACGCCACATCGGCATTGAACGCCACATCCTCGCTCTCTGGCCAATCAGGTGATCGTGCTGCTGCTGCTGGTGGTGGTGTGTCTTCACACCGTGGCTCAACGTCTTCTCCAGCAGCAGCAGCAGCTGGCGTTGTACAGTGGTGATGTATGCAATGGTGGCGGTGGTTGTGGTGGTATGGAGTGATGGTAGGGTGAAGCGTGTAAGGACGAAGAGATACAGAAGACCGTCGTAAACACACACACACACACGCGCACACACACACACACACACGCACACACACACACACACGCACACACACACACACACACACACACACACACACACACCTGGTGCAAGGGTCTGTGCGTCTCTGTGAGGGTGCCGGCCAGCCCGACACTCGACTCAATCAACGTCTTCACCGCAATCTTGCTCATGTTCAGCTGCAGGCATGATGCAATCATGTGGAAGCGGAGACGTGTGTGAGTGTGCGAGTGAGTGAGTGAGTGAGTGTGCGAGTGAGTGAGGGTGCGAGTGAGTGAGTGTGCGAGTGAGTGAGTGAGTGACTGAGTGACTGACTGAGTGAGAGAGTGAGTGTGAATGTGGGTATGTGTGCAGATGTGTGAACACGAGCGACCCTCACGCCACCCCGCTCAACACAACAAAGTACAACAACAACAACCACGACGCCCACATACCACCACCACCACCACCTTCAGCACTTCAGCCTTCATCTATATCATCACGATCAGGAATGTCGACTGACGAGGTTGGCGCGCTGTCGCCTATGTGTCTCCATCTCGGCCTCATGCAAGAGCTGTGCACGCCGCTGAGCAGCCGCCCGCTGTTGCTGTTGTCGCAACGCGCACACGCAATCACACACGCATTCACGATACATAGCAAGGACGGCGTAAGTGCTCGCGTGTATGCACACACACACGCACACGCACATACACACACACACATGCACACACACGCACGCACGTCATCAGCAACACAACAGCCACTCACACACATGCACAACCACGAACAGACGCATACGCATACACAAATCACACCACATCACCGTCAGCGTCACACCTGCAGTGCCGCCTGTTTCTGTGGATCTGTTGTTCCGCTCAACCATTTCATAAACCCGCGCGGGCCTTTGTCTATGCGGTGGTGGTAATGGTGGTGGTGGTGGTGGTGGTGGTGGTGGAGTAAGCAGACGGAGTGAAACTGCGTTCGATCGAAGAACGGCGCGCAGCTTCCACTTATGCAGAAACACGTACACACACACACACACACACACACACACACACACACACACACACACACACACACACACACACACACACACACACACACAGAGGCAGCACAAGCACACGTGCAGACAAGCACATGTCCTCACTCTGCACGACGACGATGGACGGGCTACCGCTACCGCTGGCCGTGCTCGCCGTCCGACTGCGGTTTGTTCCGCTTGATGAACTCAGCACGCTCCCCGTACGGCTGCCTCGGCCCTCCTGTTGTTGCTGGTTGGAGTGCTGCTGCCTTGCGCCGTCTGCGTGGCCGGTGCTGTCTGCGCCGTGACCATTGGCGACGAATACGCTCGAGTCATCCGTGTCGCCCCTATTGTTGCTGCCACTGCCGGTTTCGTGACCATCCGCCTCGTTGCCGCCAGCCATGCCATCACCGCCCTCAGATGCGCGCTTCTTTCGTAGCTGCAGACGTTCCAGCGCCTGCGCTCGCCGCGCCTCTGCCTGACCGACCTGCCAGACAAAGTGAGAGGAGGTGGGGAGGAAGAGCGTGTGGAAGGGTGCAATTGCGCAGTTGGCTGTGAGTGAAAACAGCATGGTATCGGTCGCCCACGCATGCTGCAGTAGCTATATCCCACATGTTGCGCATGCTGTAGTAGCTATATCCCACATGTTGCGCGCACACACACACATACACACACATACACACACACGTACACACACACACGTGCACACACACACACACACACAAGTACGCGCACACATACACGCATACGTACAATGGAGGAGGACGACTGTTGGGACTGCGCATTGGTGTCCTCTGCGTCATCTGTGGCAACTGCTTCTGCACTAGCTGAAGCAACAGCGCTCGCCTCATCCTGCTGCTGGGACCCATTATCCGCACCGCCACCGCTGCCACCACCACTGTTGGCATCATCACCATCATCATCGTCATGATCATCGTCATGATCATCGACGTGGCCAGCAGCAGTGGAATCATCGGGCTGCGTTGGCACGGCCTGTTCCTCCATGTCAGCGGTGTTGCCCTGTTGTTCATCTTCAACATTGACATTGTCAACACCAGCGTCGTTCCCTTGTTGCGCCGCACTATCGCCACTCCCGTTGTCGCCAGTGTCAGGTGCCCCCTGCACCTCTTCACTGTCCACCGTCACAGCAGCGTCCGTGGTAACCGTGCCCTCCTCAGCCGCCTTCACTTCTTGTTCGTCCATCTCTGCTGGCTGTTGTGCTGTTGTTGTGCTGTCTTAGCTAGAAGTCTCTCTTGTTTGGGTTCATATGGGACTACAGTTTATGCTGTCGCGATCAAAAAACGAATCTGCTGCTGTTGGTGGCGGCGGAGCAAGATGAGCAACGGCACTGGACCACGAACCAGGCAAGCCAGCAAGGCAGCTTTTGCTTGCCTCTCTGCTTGCCTCTGGGGAGGTGTGATCTGCTTGTGCTTCGCTTCCCTGACCCAGTGTGCACGCCACTGACATATGCCATCCCTCGCGTGCGTTGATGGTTGTTGGTGTTGTTGCTGTTTGGTCGCGTCACATCGCTCTGTGTGTGCTGCTTGTATTTGTATCATGTCGCTTGCTACCTGTGTTGCAGGTCTCGCACACGCCAGTCCCTGTCGGCGTGGGGTGCGCGGCTGAGCGACGCGGACCATGCTGCCATGCAGGAGTTTGCGACCGACCAGCTGAACAAGGCCATCAAGGACACGCGTGCTGGCGCGGCTGCGAAGCCCGCTCGCTCCTCAAAGTCATCCATCTCATCCTCATCGACAACATCGTTCACCAGAGCAGGTATGTATGTGTGTTTGTGTGTGTGTGTGTTTGTGTGTGTGTGTGTGTGTGTGTGTGTGTGTGTGTGTGTGTGTGTGTGTGTGTGTGTGTGTGTGTGTGTGTGTGTGTGCGTGCGTCTGCTTGTGTGCGCACATGTGTTTTGTGCAAATAGTCTCTGAAACTGAACCACCACTCTTGTGCACGTTCCTGTCGCTCAAACGCATTCAAACACATGCAAACACATGTAAACGCACGCATACACATGTGCGCAGAGTTGGAGCTGCGCCAGCAGCAGCTGGGTCGGTACACCCGACAAGCGACAGAGCGCGTCGACAACTACGTCCGCATCACCAACTCGCCTCCAGCGGCAACGTCATCATCATCATCATCAACAACGGCGGCGGGAGCACAGCGCCCACTGGAGGGGTGCTCTGAGGTCGTGCTCGGTGGCGGGCAGAATGCCGCACCCGACAGCAGCCGTCCAGGCAACAGCAACAGCACCAGCGCAACCAGCACCGTGCCGTCCTCCCCCTCCCGTCATCGTCGTAACCGGCAACAACAACAGCAGCCAGTGTCGCCAGCATCTGCAGGAGCGCAGCACGTGCAACCGCAACAAAGCCCGCGCGCACACGCACCGCGGCCGCTGCGTAGGCGAAGCCGACCCAGCGTTGCACCAGATGATGATGGTCGAAGCGATCGGGCACGACCGCTGACGCTCGATGGCTTGCGAAGTGACGACGATGATAACGACGATGGAGACGATGATGATGATGATGATGATGATGATGATGATGATGATGATGAGGGGCTGACAGACCGCACTGCGCAAGGTGAGAGAAATGGGGTGGGGAAGCCGGCACATGTACCTGTGTGTGTGTGTGTGTGTGTGTGTGTGTGTGTGTGTGTGTATGTGTGTGCGTGCATGCGTGCGTGTGTGCCTGCGTGTGTGCGTGCATGCGTGTGTGTGTGCCCTCCCCACCTTTGCTTGTACGATTGCTTTGTTCACATGCGCATGTGCGTGCTTCATGCCCTTGTTGCTGTCCATCTGTGTTGCTGCTGCAGGCCGCATCCCACCGCTCTCCGCACGCGGGGTAGACGGCCTGATGAGTGACGATGACAACGACAACGACAACGGCGATGGCGATGGCGATGGCGATGGCGATGGTGATGGTGACAGTCGTGGTCGTGGTCGTGGTGGACAGATGAACGGAACAACACCGCACCCCGTCATCCTCAACGCCTTCTCTGTAAGTGTGTGTGTGTGTGTGAACGTGTGAACGTGTGTGTGTGTGTGAACGTGTGTGTATGTGTGTGTCTGTGATTGTGCGCATCACAACGTACACGACTTGCTTTTTCGTCCACCCACTGACAATTTGTGATGTGCCATTGTTCGCTCATGTTACTGACATGAACCTCACACGGCCACCACATGAATGCATATGCCACCCCTCATGTTGGATTTGGGTTCTCCTGTGTAGCCGCCGCAATCGCCGCGCATCCAACACGCAGCCCAAACAAAGGACAATGCGCATGACGCAATCGATGGGCCGAAAGCGCCGCCGCAATCGCTCTTTCTCCGCATGGTCCTCCTTCCATTTCGCGGTTTGAGCGTTTTCATGTTTCTGTGGACCATCGCGCTCATCTGGATCGACCTCCAAACTCTCAACGTTCGTGTTTCTGTGCGTGTGTGTGTCTGTGTGTGTGTGTGTCTGTCTGTTTCTGTGTGTGTGTGCTTCTGTGTGTGTGTGCCTCTGTGTGTGTGTGTGTGTGTGTGTGTGTGTGTGTGTGTGTGTGTGTGTGTGTGTGTGTGTGTGTGTGTGTGTGTGTCGTCGTTGTCGTTGGTCGCCGTCATGTGGTTTTTTTTTTTTTTTGTCTCTCTCCCTCTGTGTTCGTGCATCAAACCTTGCTGCTCCTTGTTATCGTCAAGATCCGTCTGATTCCAATGTCACCCCCCCCCCCTCCACTCAACACAACACACACTCAACACACACACACACATGTACAAACACATGACCATTGCCATTGCTTTTGCAGACACTGCGCGTGCTGCTGCTGCGCGTGCGTGCGTTTGTGCTGTATCCCGTGCGCGATTTCGCCACATTCTCGCGCCTCTTCTGGTCATTTGTGACGACATTTCTTGCTGTCGTGTTTGCTGTTCTGCTCCTCACGGACTCTGTGGCGCTGGACGGAGCACCGTGGCCAAAGTGCGCACAGATGACATAGAGAGGATGGAATGGTGGTGGTGGTGGTGGTGGTGTTGTTGTTGTTGTTGTGCTTGTTCTTGTTGTTGTTGTTGTTGTTGTTGTTGTTGTTGTTGTTGTTGTTGTTGTTGTTGTTGTTGTTGTTGTTGTTGTTGTTGTTGTTGTTGTTGTTGTTGTTGTTGAAGATGTTGTTGTTGTTGTTGTTGTTGTTGTTGTTGTTGTTGTTGTTGTTGTTGTTGTTGTTGTTGTTGTTGTTGTTGTTGTTGTTCTTGTTCTTGTTCCTGTTCTTGTTCTTGTTCCTGTGTTTGCCCGACTGTCTCCGTGTCTGCCTCGCTCCTACTCACAAGCACCACTCACACCCATTCCAAACACCAAACCACCACCATCACCACCGCTCCTCTCCCCCTGCATCAACAGATCGTGGCGGCCGCTGTCACCAAACACGACCGCACACACGACCGCATCGCTCATCGCATCCTCTCTCATCGAATCCACCGCCACTGCGTCGCCATCATCACCATCAACACCATCAACGCCGCCACCCCCGCCTGGCCTGACTGTGGATGACGCAACCATGCTGTCTGACAGCATGGCCACGACCGTTTTAAACGCAATTAGCAAGGAAGGACAGCTGGCGACGTCACAGGACGTTTTGTCCGTTCGCACGGCCCTGGAAGGACTACAGCGACGCATCAACGACGTGGAATGTGCGTGCATATGTGTTTGTGTACTGCATGTGTGTGTGTGTGTGCCTGGGTGTGTGAGAGTGTGTGCATGTCTGTGTGCATGTGTGTGTGTGTGTGTGTGCACGTGAGTGTGCGAGTGTGCGAGCGTGTGCGTATGTGTTTGTGTGCTGTGTACCTCTTCTTCTCTCTCGAGGCTTTGCTTGTTGATGCGCCACTGAAAGCGTCAACACTCACAGCAGCAATCCAAATGTGTGTGCGTCGCCCCCGATCTGCGCAGCCGCATGCCGGTCGAGCCAACCTTCCGCCCCATCGCCATCACCGTCGTCGTCATCGTCGTCATCGCTGCTCTCTGCAATTGAAGAGGAACTCAATGCCTTTGTCGCACAGCTGCGTACGTCACGGATATGTGATGGTGGCGATATGTGGTGGTGATTGGTGGTGGTGGTGGTGGATGACAAACATGCTCCTTTTGGCTCACTCATGCTGTTGTGTGTTGGTGCATCCATTGACACCACGACACGTGCATTTGCACTTGCTTTATTGCACTTGTGTGCTTGCAGGCACATCGTGCAGCGAAGTGACGAATGTTGCCGCGGATGTGCACGCGCTCACCGCCAACCATCATGACGTCGTTGCGCAACTCAAGGTGATGGGAGGAAAACTCTTGTGCTGGTGCTGGTGCTGGTGTGAGTTGCCAGTGTGTGACTGCCACACCATGTGCCACACGGGCTGCCACAGTTCATTCACTCGTGGCCTTTGTGCTGTTCTGTGCCTGCAGGCAACGCACACGCTTGTTGGGACGATGCAGCAAAGCGTGCAGTCGCTGTCTGACACACAACTTGGACAGGACGACAAGCTGGCACAGGTGCGTTGTCTGCTGTGTGTATGTGTGTATGTGAGTGAGTGTGTGTATGTATGTGAGTGAGTGTGTGTATGTATGTATGTATGTGTGTGTGTGTGTGTGTGTGTGTGTGTGGCGATGGCCGTGGTTTTGTGTGACTGGCTGTTCCTTCTCCTTTGCACTTCAACCAACGCGTCAACTGCCGTTCATACGGCCCTCACCAAACCCAACAACAACAACAACAACAACAACAACAACAACAACAACAACAACAACAACAACAACAACAACAACAACAAACAACAACAACCAACACGCCACTTGCACCTGCACATCAGCTGCTGACGTCACTGCAGTCGCTGCAATCGGATGTTTTGTCCGCCCTGAAGGCAATGGAGTCAAACACACGCGCACGCGATCAAGACGATCATGCTGGGCATCGACACCTCGACGACGACGGCAACGACCAAGAACACATGTGCGGATTGTATCCTTTGTCGTGTGTGTGTGTGTGTGTGTGTTTGTACCTGTGAAACTGCTATTGTGCAAGCATGGGGGTTTTACAGGACTCTTCTTTTCCAATGGCACTCACTCATCCCCCCTCTTGCATCTGATGCCTTCACCACCAACACCGCCACGTCCCATCGTCACCATCCTCCGTTCCAGCACCATTGAGCCCCGCATTGACCTCCCGCAACAGGTGAGGCCGCAATTGCAGGGTTGCTTGCTTGCATGCATGCACGCATTACTGCGGCTGCTGTATGGTGCAGCCGTTGTGCGTTTCGCTCTGATCAACACCACCACTCTCACTGAGCATCAACACCGCCATCGCCAACACATCATCCCTTCGCGCTCAACTCTCGCATGACCCATCATGACCCATCATGAACCACCAGGGGTTTGGCGTTGCGTGGGTGGAGGTGTCGTGCTCTGTTCCCGCCACCGCCGCAACATCATCCTCGCTGCTGTCCTCTTTCTTCTCCCACTTTACGTAGGACTGGCGCTATGTAGATGTGTGTGTCGCTGTGTAGACGTGTGTGTGTGTGTGTGTGTGTGTATGTGTGTGTGTGTGTGTGTGATTGTGTGTGTGTGTGTGTGTGTGTGTGTGTGT